ATTGTCTGCTGTTCCATCTTTCTGTGTTCTGGTACTACTGGTTTTTCTGGTTCTACTGGTGAAACGATGCCTCCAAAGTAAACCTAAAGGTTAGTCACAGACTCAGACAACAAAAAAGACAAATTGTGTTTCACAGTGTATTCACAACCATTACACAGAGCCAGGTACACCCATAGACCGCACTAAGGCTACATTTTCAATACTACGTTTTTTTTCAAAATAATTTCTCGTGTGGTTGTGGTAGCCATTGCTATTTTTCGTTTGTCTTTAGACGTACTTTCTTCTTCAGCCAAATCTTTTGCATCTACTTCCTGTTTACACCAGCAAGCACTTGCCCATTGTATGTGAATGGCCACTTGAGATGTGTTTTCAGTCGTTTTAATATAGAAGGTGTAGGAAATCTGGATGCCTTTGCTGTGCTCGTAGTCACTCGTTGGAAGAGTCCAAACAGTTCAGTGGAAAGAAGCACGAGGACAAGATTTACTTTTTGAGGGAATAGTGAGTTTGCTTTGCATGTTTAGGTCATGGTCACATGAGCAGGTATTGTGACAGGCGCTTGACATGCAAAGTCTGTGGTCAAACTCGTCCCACCGTGCTACATATTAAATGGTACATTTAGAGGAGCCATATAATAACCAGCCAATTTCACAAGAAACATGTGGACACACAAGGGCCAATAAGGACTAGTGCGTTCTGTCTATTCTCCCTGTAAAGGTGAAACTGCATCATGAACATCTATACTGGATCCTGGAAGTTCAGCCACTTTCTGCACGGAAGATCTAATCCAGAAACTGAATATTACAGGCAGAAGAACTAATTTCTTATTGCCCACCATGGGGCAAGAAACTGTTACACAGCCTACACATTGACTGGTTTGGAGGTATCTGATCTGGACAGCAATGGCTTCTATATGCTCCCAAAGGTTCTCACACAAAAGAAAATGCCAGTCTCTTTGGATAACATGGTGACGCCTGAAGACTTGGCTAGCTGGCCATACTTGTCAAAAGTACACATCCCAAGCATAAAGTCAAACGTTGATCTCTTAATTGGAACAAGGTATTAGAACCTTGGGAGGTCGTCAACAGCTGCGGGAATGGCCCGTATGCTGTTAGGACTGTGCTGGGATGGGCCATTAGCGGTCCGCTGAATGGTAACAGCATTGGAGATCTTCCCTCTGCTGTGGTGAACAGGATATCTGTGGGCAAACTGGAAGAGATGCTGACCATTCAACACAATCATGATTTCAATGAAAAGAATATAGAAAAGAAGGAAATGTCCAGAGAAGATAGCAAGTTTCTTGAAACTATGGAGCATTTGGCAGTACTTCAAGATGGAAAAATATTGTTTGAAATTGCCATTCAGGAAAAAGGAAGTCTATCTCCCCAACAATTTTGCAGTGGCTAAGCAGAGGATTGAGGGTTTGAGGATCCTTAAAGATCAACACTTGCACCAGGAGTATACAGGATAAATGAATAATCTCATTGGTAAAACCTATGCGGAGCAAGTATCTCAGCAGCAACAGCATCGGGAGAAAGGAAAAGTGTGGTATATTCCTCACCATGGTGTCCATCATTCGAGAAAAGTTCCCTTCGGGTTGACTGTGGAGCCACTTGTAAAGGGGTCTTGCTAAATAGTGAGCTCTTGCAGGGTCCTAACCTCACCAGCTCGCTGCTAGGAGTTCTAACTCGCTTCACACGGGAACCTGTGGCATTCATTAGTGATATTCAAGCCATGTTCCACCAGATGAGGGTTGCTGAGGGAGACTTTCTGCACTTTCTCCGGTAACCAGATGGAGACATCAGTAAGAAATTTGTGGAGTTTAGAATGACTTGCTGATGATTATGATTACAACTGTTTTGCCCTGTTTTGTCCCCCAGTTGTGCAAGCTATACACTGGGAAGAACTGCTGATGATAACCATTTTGAGTTTTCGGATGAAGTTCTTCAATGCGTCAAGCATAACTTACATGGATGACTGCTTGAAGAGCTCAGCCACAGAAGAAGCTATCCATATGGTGAGAGACCTAATTGCTGTTTTGAAAGGGAGGCTTCATCTTGGAGCATCTTGGTTTTCTAGCACCTGTCAATTTGCTAAAACGATGCAGCAAGAACTCTGTCCGAGATGTTGTGGATGGGATGATGCTCTACCACAGGACATCTTACACAAATGGGAAAGATGGATGAAAGACCTGGATCTGCTGACTGCATTTAATGTGGATAGGTGCATCAAGCCAGTGGACTTTGGAGAGGTCAGACATACGCAATTGCATCACTTTGCTGAAGCCAATGAAGGTTGATATGGAACTGTAACATACATCCGGATGTTAAATCAGGAAAACAACATCCAGGAAACGTTTCTGCTCGGTAAAGCCAGAGTGACACCACTGAAGGCTGTAACTATTCCCCGACTTGAATTGACAGCGGCTGTCCTTGCTGTCAGATTGGATTCAATGCTAAAGGCGGAGTTGGATTTCCAGTTGGAGGAGTCAGTATTCTGGACTGACAGTGCCTTAACAACGAGGACAGGTGCTTCCACACATTTGTGGCCAACAGAATCTCGACCATCAGAGAAACATCTGAACCCCCACAGTGGAGACACGTTGGTTCTAAAGATAATCCAGCGGATGATGCATCGAGAGGTATGAAGGTCTTCTGAAGAAAGGTACGTGGCTTGAAGGTCTTGAAGGAAACTAGTCAGAACAAATTGAATAATCCTGAAGGACAATGGGGCACAGTGGCATCTAGGAGTGGAATCCTGACACTGGAAGATCTATTAGAAGCAGAGATTGCCATCATTCGCTATTGTCAGCAACAGAGATTCAAGGAGGAGATTTCTGTTCTGGGAAAGCAGCAGTGAGTAGACAGAGTTCCATATTTGGACTGGATCCAATGGTCTTTTAAGAGTTGGAGGAAGGTTGAACAGAGGAGCAATGCCTGAGGAAGTCAAACATCCCCACATTCTCGCCAAAGATCAGCATGTCTCTATGCTTATTCTTAAGCATGTACATCAGAATGTGGGCCATGGTGGACGGACTCATACACTGTCCAAAGTGAGGAAGAGGTTTTGGATTACCAAGGCCAATTCAGCAGTTAGGAAGGTTATTGCAGAATGCAGCTTTTGTAGACGGTACAACGGAAGAGCAGTGGAACAAAAGATGGCAGACCTTCCAAATGTGAGAATCCTTCCTGATCTACCGCCATTTACCAACATGGGAGTAGATTACTTTGGACCAGTTGAAGTAAGGAGGGGACAATCAACATGTAAGTGACACAGAGAGTTAAATTTACCTGTATGGCAAGCAGGGCCATCCATCTGGAAGTAGCAGTATCCCTGGAAACAGATGCATCCATCAATGCTCTGTGGCGTTTTATTAGCCAAAGAGGACAAGTGGAACATCTGAGGTCAGACAATGCTACCATCTTCACTGGGGCAGAAAAGGAACTCAAGAAGACTCTTGTTACTTTGAACCAGGAGATGATTCAAAGAGCCATGTCACAGGTTGGAATCTGTTGGAGTTTTAATCCACCAGCTAGTTCACACCATGGTGGTGTGGGGGAACGGATGATCCGCCTGGTGTGAAGGGTCCTCACTTCTGTCCTACGTCAGCAGACATTAGATGATAATGGACTTCATACAGCGTTCTGTGAAGTGGAGGCCATTTTGAATGGTCAGCCTATTACTAAGCTCTCAGATGATCCCAGTGACCTGGAACCTCTCACTCCTGACCATCTTCTTCTTCTGAAGGGTAAACCATCTCTGCCACCTGGAGTGTTTGATCCTCATGACCAATATGGAAGAAGACGATGGAGACAGGTACAGTACCTCTCAGATATTTTTTGGAAGAGATGGATGTGAGAGTACTTGCCCTTGCTTCAAGAGAAGCAAAAGTGGAATCAAAGAAAGAGGAGTTTGATTGCTGGAGACATCGTGGTAATAATGGATTCTTCAGCTCCTCATGGTTCTTGGCCACTCGGCAAGGTTCTGGAGGTTTTTACAGACAAACATGGGCTTGTGCGGTCTGTAAGATTACAGACTAAAACTAACGTCATGGAAAGGCCAGTGACAAAACTCTGTTTGCTGCATGGAGTTTAAATTTGTCCATTCATGCTGGACTTGACTGACTCGACTTACTTTGATGGATTGTAACATTTTGGCTCTATGGTTTTTGTTTGAATTGTAATGGTTCCTGGTAATTAACAATTAGGGGTCGGTGTGTAGGAGCCAAATGTGGTATTTGTGCATATATATATTGGCCGTTGTTTTCTGTTTGTACATTGGGTGTTGTTCTGATATTACCTGTCAAGGTTACAAAGGTAGCATCCAAACTGTTGGTGGTAGGTGTTTGACCCGGAAGGGCAAAGGGATTTTGTCCGGTGTGGCGCACTGGCGCTGGAAACCTTTTTTTGGACTGTTTATTGTATGTTTACGGATATGGTTTTGCTGTTGAAACTGGATAAATGGACATTTCACTCTGCACGGTAAAACAAATAAACTTATTACTCAGCAACACAACAAAGCCTGGAGATTCTTAAGAACGATACAAAACGGTAACAGAATAACAAAGGAACAGCGCGTCAGCCAGGGCACTCCTGGGCTAAACCGCCTCGGTAGCCATCAGTATTAGACTGAGCAACTACAGCCGGACATCAATTCTGATATGCAGCTAAAACGCTTGAGTAGATGGACATTAATTTTAAAACAAAAAACATAAGAGGGAAAAATAAAGAGAAAGAACAAAAGGTAGACTGATATAAACTAGAACCAAACAAGCACCCCACATTCAACCCAAGGTAATACTAAAGAACACAATGTCTTACACCCTGCAGTGGTTGTGACAGAGAGGACATTTTTAACAATCAGGTGGAGACGGTAAAGCAAGGCAGGCTTTTTTTAAAGGCAGACGGAGAGAGAGAGTTAGGTGTGCCAATTGGTGATTGCCAGCAGGTGAGAGAAAAAGGCACAGGGATGCATCTCATTATCATCTACAAAACGCTGAGGAAGCACAGCTACTACTCCAATATCCGAGGCATCAACTACAAGTTGATGGGTTGTCACTTGAGCATGGGAGCCTTCATTCCAATATTATATCTTTATAGATAGATGCTTTGTGTGAAGGGATGGCAGAGCCAGGCGGCATGTTGGAAGAGTGCAGTGGCCGAGAAGGGACGTAAAGAGCAAAGCGACATGACCGAGAGACAGCAGCAACAAGGACAGCTGGTGATCCATAATGAGAAGTTTCACACCACTCTAGTTGAGGAGTCAAATTGTAGTTATATGTTATCATTTTTTGGCTGGAATGACCAAGAGTTCAGTCTTAGAGAGGTTGCATTTAAATTAGATTTGTTCTTCTAAATGTTTCCAAAACAGCAACTTATTCAAGGTTAATCTTTTTTTACTTCACAAAGTTTCAGACTGTAGTCTGTTTTTGCTAATAACAATGTGAGTTGCATGAGAATATGTTGTGTGTGATGAGTCTGTTAACAGAAGATAACAACTCTGTGGTTGTTTCTAAATAAAAAACACTGTGGCCGAATGTGGCTCTTCACATGTTTCACTGCAGGACTGTTAATTAAAAATAAAATTAACATAAATAAATGTAAAACTGTGCAGATTTACATTTCTCTGTGCATTCTGCTCACAAACCATATGTGGAAAATGTTTTACTGTTGTGTTTAACTCTTGTTTTAATGTAAATAATTGTTATATTAAGTGCTTAAGTGATTTTTCATCAAAGAGAAAATGGAATCAGAAGACTAAAGATGTGTGCACCATTTTTTTTCCACTCTGCACATCAAACCACAGCTGCAACTTCCTCCTGTTGACTCCAGTAAACTTTGGCCTGATGCTGGTGGTTTCTCTCTACAGTGTGCTCTGCTTTAGCTGATATTGATGTGTTTGTTTTGTTGCTTGTGCTGAAATGTTTAAACTTGTTTTAATAGAAGCGAAGAGCTTTATGATTGTCTAGTTACAGAAAAATACCTTCCAGCCATACTTGGTCTTTCACCTTTCACAGCAGTGGTGTTGAGAAGAAGAAAACTGTCAAACCTGCTGCCGTTTATAGTAGAACTTACTACACCACTAGTATTATTACATGTGTTTAGTACTTATAATAATGTAAACAGCAGTAAACATACCAGTAGTAGTACAACAGTACTAAATATACTAACAGTACTGGTATCAACTGTAGTAATTTGTGTGTATTTCTGTGTATTTTGTTTTCCAGAGAGTGATCCAGCTGCAGTCTACTCAGGAGATGTCAGTTATGGACAAATAGCTGTCAGGCCACACAAGACGAGAGGTACGGCTGCTCTTTATTTATTAACTTTGGACAGAGCCAGGTTAGCTGTTTCCCCCTGCTTACAGCCTTTGTGCTAAGCTAACCACGACCTGACTCAGATCAATCTCCTCATTTCCCAGAAAGAAAAAGAGTACTTCCCAAACCGTTGAACTATTCCTTTAAAGAGATGTGGATAATTGGCAGGTCAGAAGGACGAAACATGAGGATCTCTAAGACAGTCAAGACACGGTTCAGGAGGGATGTATACATATCAACTACCACATGATTTTAATTATTTTAATAGTTATGAATCATGGTGATCACCGTGGAAACATACGATACTCTTGACGATAGCTATTACTGGTGAAATAAATTTGTTACACAACAGGTAGAGACAGAGTGTTAAGAACAACATATAAAATTTAAAATGATGGAGTTTGTTTTCTTTTGGAGATGTTCTCCCAGTTGTCTAGCCATTACAATTTGGCCCTTGTCAAAGTTGCTCAAATCCTCAATCCTGCCCATTTTTCCTGCTTCTAACACCTCAACCTTGAGGACACAATGTTCACTTGCTGCCTAATATATCCCAACAGCCTGTTCTCATCTCAGGGCGTCATATACCGACGATTTGAGAAAGAGTGACAAAGCGTAGGTATTTGACGCTAAAGGCACCGGGTGCGTCTCCATGAAACGCTTCCAGAAGTGTCTCTATGAGACGCTCTGGGGCGCCCCATACAGACCGGAAGTGCTAGCTTGCTAGCGGTAGTATTCACCCCTCTTGAATGTTTCACCATTTTGTTTCTTTTATACATGAAATCATGGTCAATATAATTTGGCTTTTTTGACAGTGACCTACAGGTCAGTAGTGGTATACAGGTCTAAGGAAATGTGGGCTGTTTTCTTTTCTAACAAAAGGCATTAGTTGGCAGGTCTAGGCACCAAGGCATAGCCTAAACTAAATTATTTCAGGATATTTATTATATTTGCTATCTTCCAACCAACTTAACTTTCTGCATTTATTGGACGTTAAACGTCGTTCATGCACAACACCTGAGCAGTGCTACGGGCTGATGCAGCAATTCATGCAAAAGGAGACCAGGCTAAGTGCTGACTGCGAGAATTAACCTTTTTCAGAACTTTTCAGAAGGTCGGCATTTCTGTAACGTCCCTTCTTTATTCTAATATTCTAATATTTTGAGATGTAGATTTTTGATTTCCATGAGCTGTAGGCTGCAATCACCAAGATTAAAACAAAAAAAGGCTGAAATATTTTACTTTATATGTAAACATATACTTTGTATGAATCTAGAATGAAAGGTAAATTTTTAGAATTTAATTGCATCCACGAGATGCATATATCCAGTCTTGACATCTCACCTGTTACCAGTTAGCCCCTATTGTTGAGACTTTCAAACAGGTGTTACTTGAGTGCTCTGTGCAATTTTTTTGTTGAGTGTGTTGCAGGCATTAAATTCTAACTTTGTTTATATTTACAAAACAGTTAAATAAATGTGAATTAACAAATCACAGATTTGAGTTTTTATTGCATTTTCGACTTTTCTGGAAATAGGGTTTGTAATGTTGTTGACAATATCTGATGTCTAATAATTATGTAAACTTAGAAGATTTTAAATTATTCACAATAAACACATCATTCCTCAAATTACAAAACTTGATGATAATAAAGACTAAATGACGATTTCTTTGTCTCCAACAGTTTCTCATGTTGTTTGAACTGTTTGTGTTTGTGTGTTCAGAGTTTCCAGTAGAGACAGAGGTCGTCTACTCTTCACTGAGGTAGACCTTCACACCTTCATACCAGTCCAACCACTGATGTCCTGCTGGCCTGGAACTGGTCCCCAGAGCCCCTCACACCTCAGCACATCCATTTATTATATAAATAAATTGTTAAAATCCTGTTTTTTTTTACCCTGTAAGTGTTTCAGTACTTTCCACAGAACCAACATGTTACCTGTTGTCATTCATATATTTCTACTGAACACAAACTAATAATAAACTCCAGTTGTTTTGGGGGCAATGTAATAACTTTACTTTTATTTACTGTATATTTTATTAATGTTTTTGTTTCTTGTTGCAGCAGCAACTTCTTTCTCTGCAGGACCAGTAAACTTTGGTCTCGTTCTTATTTTTCTCCTCTGGTTCTTTTGGTTTCACAAAGCTGTTGGATGGAAAATGTGACGTGTTCTGGTTTCGCTGTGGCTAACCAACAGGTTTCTCGACAGATAACTAAAAATAAACAAAACTGCAGCCGCAGACTCTGAACAGCATGAATATGATTCAACTTCAGCACAGTCCCTGTGTTGCTGAATACAGTTGTAAGCCACAACAACACCAGTGAAGCATGTTTGAGGTTGCAGGTACGAACCATCATGGGGGTCTGGGGACCTGATGGATGACCTAATCAGGACTGGACTGGGACAAAACATTGTACCGGGCATTTTTTGCCAAGGTGTCCCACCACTAAAGGTCAGACACCCCTCACAAATACACCATCCTTGCAGTCCCCTTAAATATATGTACCTACTGTAATTGTAACTGCCCTCAGTGGGTAAAGCAAGATTCAGAGAGTCTCGACTGATTTCTTTTACCCTTTCTTTATTTATTACAGTTCCTCCTTGTACAATACAGTAAGCACCATGAAAACTATAAAGATATACAAATATAAGTACCTTTATACCTTTGGAAGAATCTAAAATCAAACATGCAAAACCGTAAACCTAATTAAATACACAAATTAAACTACCATTACTCTATATCAATATACACAATAACTTTTAAAACACACAGTTAGTTAATACATCGAGCTAAATGGCTCTTCGTCAATATTACACACCACTAAAGAACTTCCAACTTCCAAGATAAATACCTCGTTCCACTTCCCAAGGTTGTTAAACTTAAGATTTGATGTTTCCTTTGTTTTGGCTTTCTTAAAATCTTCATAAGTCGGCGTCTTTTACGTGTGCTCTATGCTCGCTCTGCTATTTGTTTGTGGTTTGCAACAACCTTAAACTGGTAAGTACGGGGTTTATCTACACTTTCACAGGGGTTCATTTAGCCCAGTGGCAGAAAATACACTGCTCACTTGTGGACGCTACTGGCACCTGTGGAAGTTGTCTGCCCATGTTTACCATAATCCTAAAAAAAACATCCTTTACAAATACATAAAATAAATTCACAATAATTGCAAATCAATACATCTTAAATGACTCCAAGCGGACAGTTACAGTAATATTCCCTCAAACCACTATAAAGCTGAGTAGGAAGTGCTGTGGCTCAGTGTACTCATTCACATTTTACTGACTCTCTGTTGATCAGAGGTGGAGTACACAAATCATACTCAAGTAGAAGTATAAGTCACAACATCATTTGAAATTATTATTCGGTCCAGAATTGTTAATAAATTCCCTGACAAAGCTGTTCAGTTTCACTTTGTTTCCTGCAAATTGATGTTTTTCTTATTACATAAAGATCCCTTGCGGTCAAACTCAGACCACAACACAGCCCACGTCTTCCCCACTTTTACTGTTCTCTAGAGCAGTGAACCAGAAAAAAAAACTGTATTTCCTAACAACAAACCAAACATAACTAAAGATTAAATAACAAAATAAAGACCATATCATAACAACTGAAAACTGTGAAAATAGAGTTCCAACGAAGGTTAAAATGAAGGGCAACTGGACTTGGTTGAAGCTACTGGAAGACGTTTCGTCCCTCATCCAAAGGACTTCTTCAGTTCTGACTGACTGGCAGGGAAACTCAGCTATTTACCTCAGTGGGGTCGTTATCTCGGGTCATCGATACCGCTGGTTCGTTAGTGTTCCTTGTTGGTGTGACGACAGTCGTTACAGTCGTTGAGACTACCTGTGGCCAAGACTGAACGACCATCGTTGGTATCGTCACCTGAGGCCAAGACTGAACGACCATCGTTGGTATCTTCACCTGAGGCCAAGACTGAACGACCATCGTTGGTATCTTCACCTGAGGTACGTTTGTTGAGTTTCCTGGGAAGTGATGAAAGGACAGCATTGTAAGTGGGGGATAAGTGGTGGCGTAGACCCCCTCCCCTGTTCAATGACGGCTTCTCAACCCTGGTGTAGATGCTTCCTTGACACCTCTTTCAAACCATCCATCTTCTCTGTCTAAAATGTGCACCTGATGGTTCTCAAACGAGTGTCCTCTGTCCTTCAGATGTAAGTAGACTGCAGAGTCTTGACCTGAGGAGTTGGCCCTTCTGTATTGAGCCATGCGTTTGTGTAGTGGTTGTTTAGTCTCCCCAATATACAGGTCTGTGCATTCCTCACTGCATTGGACCGCATACACTAGATTGCTTTTCTTGTGTTTGGGTGTGCGGTCTTTGGGGTGTACCAGCATCTGTCTTAGTGTGTTCTTGGGTTTAAAAAACACAGGGATGTTATGTTTGTTAAAAATCCTCCTGAGTTTCTCTGATACTCCAGACACATATGGAATCACAATGTTGTTGCGTTTGACCTTCTTTTCCTCCTCCCCTGTAGTTTTGTTCTTCTTGGATTTGTGGCTGTTTTCACAAAAGCCCATTTAGGGTATCCACAGGCTGTAAGTGCCCCCTTCAGGTGGTTCTGTTCCTTCTCTCTGGCTTGGGCGCTTGTTGGTATGTTTTCAGCTCTGTGGTGCAGTGTTCTTGTGCTCCAGTGGGTGGTGTGAATCGAAGAGTAGGTATTGGTCTGTGTGTGTGGGTTTTCTGTGAAAATAGAGCTTCACACACCCAGGGAAGCCAGAAGGAGACATAAAACATTAGTTATGGGACACTGTGAAGGTAAACACTAACATGACACCAGCTCAAAGATGGAGGTCAGATCACTTTTTAAAGACTTTCGAAGCCTCAGGGCCGGATGGAATATCTGCATTCCTCCTGAAGACATGAGCAGAGGAGCAGACAGCTGCACAGAGCCCCATCTTTGAAAACTCAGCAGACTCACACACCATCCCCACCTTGTGGAAAAAATCAGTAATTACACCTGTAACTAAAAAACCTTACCGAAAGGTGAATAATGATTTCAGGCCTGTGGCTCTGACTTCTGTTGTCATGAAATATCTTGAGAGGATAATGGTGTCGTTTCTTAAGCAAGATGTTGGTGAGCTTTCAGATCCCTTTCAGTTTGTTTGGAAGCAGCAGCATTTTACACCTGGTCAGCAAACAGCTCAGCAGGCATTTTGATTGTTGATTTTAGTTCAGCTTTGCAACACTCTGCAGCCTGAAATGCTCATCCAGAAACTGAAACATGTTGCTGCTTTTAGTCTCTGGTATTTTTATTATTTTTATTTATTATACTGCTGTACTTTTTTAACAAACTGTTCTCAACAGGTCAGAGTAAACAATGCTCTCTCTGAGCCCAGATCAGCTCTCCTTTTTACACTTTACACTAATGACTGCACAAGGACAGAAGTCCAGCAGCTTATCATACAGAAACCCAGGAATTACTATCTGACTTCTGACCTCAAAGAGCTCCAGGTGCATGATGGTATATGACGCTGAAAGTGAACGAAAAACATCTCTGACTGTGACAAACTGTGTAGCTGCATCAGTCGGTAATCCTCATAAGTCAGTAAATGTATATTTCCCAATGTTTACACACTTCTTTTTGGCATTTTTAATGTTTTCCTGAATAACTTTTCTGCAGAGAAGATGATTTTCAGAAATTGTTTAGTGTAACCAGCTACCTGATAACATTGGCAACATATTTCTACATCAATTAACATGCAGAACAGATTTTATTATATGATAGTATTTATTATTTTAATAAAAGACATATATACTTTGTCACCTTTTAGTTGATGGTTTACCATGTGTGCTTCCAAGGGAGCTGCCATTGTTGTGTGACATCATTCAGCTGCATCTTGGGTAGTCGTGGTTCCCTTTCCTTTATATATATTTTGTTGTTGTTGTTGTTGTTGCATGTAATAGGTTTTCAAAGTGAAAAAGCACAAAGTCTACCAAGAGCTCCAGAGTGCGTCTAATTTGGTCACATGTGCCCAAAAATCTCCTCAGATAGGTGTCCATAAGAACAAATCAAATGTCTTTATTTTTCTATTGTCCTTTATTTATTGCCACATGAACATGTGCTCATTTTTCCATATAGGTGTGTTTGTTAAATTATATACAAATACAAAGTTAATACATGCTGTGTATAAAAGACTAAACTGGCCAAATATGTGATTTGTCTCTCAGTAAGTGTCGCCCCTGAGGCTCTGCACAACCTGGTCAGTTATTCACTTTGAGACTCAGCATAAAGTTTATTTCCCATTAACTGTGTGAGAGAAAACCACAAGAGTACGAGTGACACAAAAAGGAAGGAAGGGTTTTATTTGGTGTGACTGGTAAAACATTAATGTGCTGATCTCACATGACCAAGATCTAAAATGGAGAAATCATCTTTACTGTGGCTGCTAGGTAAGTAAGAATATACAAATGCTTGTCTCCACGTTGTCTTAAAGATTAGTTCGTAAACATTTCTGGTGATTTTTAGAGCAGTGAGTTATAGAGAAAAGTAGAAACGTTTTAAAGTTTTATACAGAAAGGTATTTACTATCCTGAAGTGCTTCAGAAGAGAAAAGCACACACATGCAAGGCTCGGACCAGAGGATGACTATTTAAAACACAATCAAAGTCAAAATACAAAAAAACAAACAAGTTAAAATAGGGTTTCTACATGTAATGGCACCTTAATTGTTTATAAAATTGACAGTGACAAATATTCAGTGCAGCATCGGGGCCAGTGCTGCTCAGTCTGTCTTCATAATCCTCCAGTACGCTTTGTTCCACCTGCTGAGCTCCTCCAAGCTCTCAATCCTGCTTCTGGCCGCCTGATGGTGAGAAACAGTAACCCTAAATGAGCGAGTGGTCAGAGTCAGGGAGTCAAATAAACTGTATGCTTCACAGTGCTTGACACTTGTTGATCAGTCCTTTGGCCAACTCGGCTAAGCTTGTCTTAATATAAGAATTAACAACAACTAAAATGAAAAGCAAATACACATGACAAATACAAAAAGAAAATAACTAAACGTACAAAACTAAAAGCAACTCAAAACCTACACAAGACAAAATACGTACACCAGTAACTATTAAGTCTTTAAAATCTGTCAATCCAC